CAATAGACATATCAACAAACACAACGTACCAGCTTATTATTAGCATAATCATTCAATCACTTGGTCAGAAACTAACTTAAAACAGAGGTCAGTGGGAAAGTGAATGCATATAACTATATATATCTACCTTGAAGAATTTCGCACTACTAAATTTACACAGTATATCGAAAAACTCGCTTTATCATTTTGTGATCCTCTGACTCTTCAACAATTTTCCAAATGTTTTAATAATGAAGGATAATCAGCACGCAATGCTAATGGTTAAAATCAATCGAAATAGATCATCTATTCATAGAATGTTTAGTCAATGTCACAAAGGAAATCTTTACAGTTGATCCTTTTTGTGTGGTGAACTTAAGTTATGCAATGTTCAGACACATTATGATCACTTTAGTAGTCATTACTGTCATTTTATAGATGCCTTATATCGATTTATTTCAGTAACTCTGATAAGAATTCAAGTAATTATTAGTTACGATGTAGTTATTACTTACATGTTTAAACTGTTACCTGAGTGATCCCTTCAACTTTCAGTCGACAACTAACATATTTTGAAATAAGATTTGGAAATTTCATTTAAACTGAGCTTTGCTACACCAGTTTTATTGATTTGTGATAAGTGTATTGAAAGTGTAGAATGTTCAAATAATTAATAATTTCATGGAGAACCACGTAGTTTGTTGGCAATTCTTAAAGATAAATCTTTATAACTGATTGACATATGACGCAACAATAATAACATCAGGTAATGAGAAACCCAAAGATTTTACTTAAAGTATATTATCTTTTGAGAACTAGTTTGGCTATATTCCTAATGTGATTACTTTTAAAAAGTATTTCTTTTTAGTCAAATCGACCTTCATGTAAAGTGTTCATTATCCTAACATTTGAAAGTTAGTAAGTTCAATAGAACAGTATAGCCCTGCGAGCAAACCATTCAGCTCGAGAACAAAACTCCAGCTCAGTTAGTTAATGTCATAACTTAGGGTGATCGCATATATATGCATAAAATAAAGCAACAGTTGTGGATTTTCCTTAGATATTGCATTTAAGAGTCTTATACTGATTAAAAAATCGTTTGTGCATTAAATACCTCATATAGAATTCAGGGTAATACCTTTAAGTACTGTACTAAACGAGTTGCTATAAAAAGCTACCATGAAATGAAAATGTATGTCAACTTTATAAACGTACAGTAAGTCGTGGTTGGAAACTCTTGAAAATTTTCAAGTCAGAAAATAACCTACTGATTATTACTCCTTGGGGTTTTAGTGGTTCTTCAGTCCAGATTAGTTTATGATATTAATATGAGCTTTACTTTCTTCAGACATAATTAAATATGTGTGTCGGGTTCTAAAGGATGATAGAAAGTCCTTAAAAGACATGTTTACGCAGTACATTTTCAAAAAAATATCACATAAAAATTCTTTGAACCTAAAGGTACACTTGTAGACAAAAAAGATTCCATTTAAAAACATCAAGCTAGACACTAGGTATTTTTATATTCTAAAAATGTACATTTTATGAATAGCATATACTTACTGGTCAAACGAAGCATTTACTACTCTTGAACTGATAATGAAACGGAAAATGTAATTCTATTTGTAATAGTGCTAAAAGCATGGAAACACAGCTATAGTCTACTACTCGCATAAAAGTCGTAAAATAAAATTATCTTATTATCCAAAGATAATGTTAAGGTTCTCAACAGTATAAATTTCAAATACTGGATTGATGATCTTGCTGAATCTAAACAACTTATGACTTAATATAATTTTGATGATGTAGTAAGAGGACGAAGATTATCAGAACTATGTGATATTCTAAGTTTTATTAAAGCCTTAGCCATATGAAAATTCAAACCTTAAACCTACCCTGGTAACATTGGCTTATTAACCAGAGTGATTAGGTTTTAAATTGTGTTCATATTACTCTCATTATTATTATTATTATTATCATTTTTGTATACTCTTACCCCATTTCCAGTCAAGTTGACCTTTTATTTTTATATATAAATGTTCTTAACAAGTACGTTTGATCAGATTGTTCAAAATATATTGCGCTAATATATCACATAATTCGGATAATCTTCGTCTTCTTATTACATTATTGAAATTCATCAAATGGACTAATTGCTTTAATAATATAAGATATTTATTTTGGTGCTAATGGGTTCTCTAAGCTAACAAGTCTGTATATGAAGCTTTCATTGTCGTCTTGGACAATATTATCAGAGATTACTTTATATATGATTAAATTTTTTACTCGATTCGTAAGTGTTAAATCAATTTGTTCTGATGGTCCTGTTTGTGATTGATTGTTGTCTCAGGTTTAATTGTATATAGCTTATCAATATACTAAGAAGTTATTGATAGTTGTCTAAAAGGCAATACATTTTGTTTTATTAATAAATATTAAATATAAATTAATGAAGAATTATTATTATTAAAATGAGAAATGTGAACGTAAATTCTTTGATTTCATGTATACAACCATTCCATTACATAAACTTCTTTTACAAGTTTGTTTTTAATTCATATTAACAAAATTCATACATCATCTTTTATCTTCGGAAATAGTGTAGATTTAGTTTAAAAAAATATGATAATATTATTATCATCAGAAGGGGATTTTGTGGAGATTTCAGTAATTTAATAGCTAAATTCATGAATTAAGTAAAGCTAGACTATCACAGAAAAACCTAGAAACGATCGTTCAGTGCTTCCAGTTTTCTTATAGTCATCTAACTTTAATTGATTCAACTATTAAATATTATTATCAGTTATATAACGTGAAGTCAAACATTGTTTTATAATTTCAATCTTTCTTTAAAAAAAATAATACGATGATATGAACAACATTTTGGTCCACCAGGGTGCTTGTTACCTGTGTGGTTGCGCTACAGGATTGAACTGTACTATTCAGATTGTAGCGTTAAAGCTTATACAGTGTCTGGCTGTCTTGTTAAACGGCTTGGGCTGTACTGTTTGGGTTGTCACGTGAAAGTCTGGACGGTGTCTGGTTCTTCTGAAAACCAATGTAAAATTACCCTGGCCCACAAGAGTATATTATATAACTGTGTGAATGAACAACATTTAAATAAACCAAATTTCTATGAAATCAAAACTCTATATTAACAATATTAGAATCCGAATCTTAAGGCTACTTATCAATGTATTAATAACATTTAAGACTAGATAAATATTAAACATAAATAACAGATTATATTACTGAATAGCTAATATAATAGATCGTTTAAACTGATCAACGTAAATAATCCTATATTTCTACAAGATAATATAATTAATATTAAAAACTAAACTTCATATATGATAGTATTCTAATAATATTATTATCCAATATATTTATTTATTAGAATATCATCTATTTATAATTATATTGAAGTGTTTCATTATACTCAATGTAAATCTTTCCATGTTTACATATGTTAAATTGATTTTTCTTTTGTTTATTTATAATATTTAAATAAATACTATAACAAATTTTCATTAATCTATTTAATTTCTTTTTAAATTCATAAGATTGTGTTTCATTTATCGATTTTTATTATTTATTTATTTATTTTTATCTGAAATAAATAATCAATGAAAATTTCAATAGTTCAATAGTAGATAATAATAATAATATCATTTACAACTGACATTAATAAAATATTAATTTATTCAAGGTCAAAGTGAAATCTATAAAAAACAAATAATAATTAGTTAAAACAATTTCAAGAATTAAGTTTATTATGTTTATTATGATTATTATTATTAACTATTTGAAACTTTGTATATAAATTCAAGTTTATCATATTCTTTATATTAGAAAAGAAAATCACAGAATCTTTCAAGTGTGAGTGAACACCTAATATAATAGTGAGTGAATGATTATATAATTTTCTTTTAAATATCATTTATTGAATACTGGATAATAAATTAATAATTAATTAAATAGATTTTAAATTAATTAATAATTAAATTAATAATAAATTATTATCATGGAAAACCATGGTGGTCTAGCTTTTATTGACTTATAATTTCAACGATTGAAATTTCTATAATCCTCTTCTGATCTAATCAAATTCACAAGTTAAATATGGTATCTATAAATTATTTAATACATAAATTGTTTAATTTATCAAAATTTAACTAATCAAATAAACAGACTTTTTTTTCAAATATTCATATGTTTATATTTATTTAAAAAAAAAGCTCTACAATTTAACATTCGTTAATCAAAGGTTAAAATTGATTGAATTTATTGATATTTTCGTTGATTTATTTTGTTTTAATCAATTTATCAAACTATTAATCATAATACTCAAATATATAAAGTAAAATATAACGCTAATAATTAAATACTATCTAATAAAATACAATGAAAAATATAATCTATAAAATAATAAAACAATATCTTACATGTATAGATGAATAATTATATCCAATTTAAAATTAAAGATAGAGTATATTTCCTATTAGTTTGTGTTAAATTTGTATATACTGATTCTTTTTATATAGAGTGATAAGTATTCTTTTTCTTTTCTTTTGTTTTCTTTTTTTGTTTTTAAATGAAGTCAATTTGTTTATAACAAATCTTTTAATTAGTATAATGTATCATGTTTAAAAAAATTTAAAATTCATAAGGAATGTTAAATTTATCCGCCAAATTCGTATATAAAATCACCTGAGTTGATTATATTTTTATTGTGGTTTGTTTATAAGGTTATTTAAAATAGAATTTATTAGACTATACGATTTTTTTTACTCATCAACAGTTAATAAAGCGTGGGTGGTCATGTTGTTAGTTTATTATCATTGCCTAAAATGAGACATGAATATAAAGATAAGAATATTAATAGACAAGAAAAAAATAGTGTATTTTAGTACACTAAACATCCTACGCATGATTATTTCATTGGTTAAGTCAAGGTTATAATTAATGAGTTAATTTTCCTATAGTTTTTATAGAATTGTGTAATTAATAATGAACGTATAATTCGATTGGATAGTTTATTTATCCATGTTTTAAATGAATATTATAATTTTATTTAAACGTGATAAAATTTTATACAGTAGAAATAAGTGTAAAATTACATTTAAATATAAAACATGAGTGATTCAAATAAATCTTACTGGTCATTTGAAGAAGAACATTGTTTACCTTACACCACTACTACTAATACTATTAGTACTACAACAACTGCTACATTAACAATAACTACTACTGCTACTACTGACACAGATCGTGTTAGTGGTACAACAGATGCTTCATCTTCACATTTTCCATTAGTTTCTATGACTATTCCAGTTAGTACTTCAGATGTCATTTATCCAATTCATAGATTAGAAAGTCAATTTTTTGAAAGAGCAATAGAAAGAAGAGGATTACAACATTCAGAAGGATTATATATTGAAAGTACTCCAATATGTAAGTAATATGCCGATTATCAATAATGATTACGTTAATTGATAAAACGATAATAAACCTGAATCATATTTTTATATCATCTCCTATCAAAGTCATTAAAATAAAAGTATAAACTTATAAGTTCACTCATAACTATTCACTTATTGTTTATTTCCATTAATATCCTTAATAAACTACTAGGAATCAACATACTAATTAAGTTGTGTGCATAGTATAGATTATAAATGACAGCACTATTACTTTATTTTATTGTATTTATATTTTTTTAAATACTTTGTAAAATATAACAAAGTTAGCCAAAATTTAGAGGGTGATTTTAGGCTATTAACTAACAACAAATTTACGTCATATAAAATCAATTAAAATTTCTTTTATTTGACATTTATCTAAATAGTAACCAGTTCATTTCGTATTAGATTAGTGAATTTGAAATTCCACATAACTATTAAAAATAAACACTTTAATCATTTAACATCAAAGATAAACGTTTTCATATATACCATGTAATAAGTTGTTTACTATTCAAATCAGTAAACATGTAGTGAATAACAAGTATATCAATCATCTATATAATAGAAATTTATCATTTAAAAGTTATATTTCTCTAATATTGTATTCATTTAAACATTGTAAATATTATTTATTATTGTAATTTATAAAATAGTCTTTCCCAACTTTTTTTAATTTAGTCATTTATATAAATATGTAATTAAGAATTTATTTCTCTTATATGATAATTTATAAAACAACACGTATAATTTTAGGTGAAATTACTTTTTAGAAAATTACATGTTAATAATTATATTGAAGTATATATCTGAATTGATAAAATAGAAATTGTATATGTACTATGAATTTAAGTTGTTGCTGTTGGTGTTGTCATTGTTCTTCTTCTTTTATTTATTATTTTATAGTAATCAGAATATTTAATAGAGATTTTGGTGAAACTATAATTTATGGACGACTTTTGAGAGACGCTAAAATGATCTTGAAAGTGTTCACCTAATAACTAAGACTAAATGAGGGTTATAAACCAGTGTGAGGAATTAGAATTATGATGGTTAAGGTTAATAATTACATTTATTGTTTTCATCACATCAGCTATAATGCCAAAACTTTATTTAATCAAATGGATGGGTGAATTTTGCAACAAAATCCAAGACCTATTATCTTATATCTGATTGGTTCATTCATAAATTATAGTCTTGCCAAAATTTAAGTCAAATATAAATAAGTTTACTTGTAAACTTATGAATTTTTTTTCTAAACTTTATTAAAATATCAAATTGTAATTTCAAGAGTTGTACCAGATAGTTCTATATTACTGACTATCTATAAAGTAGAATGAAACCATTATCTACTTCCTCTAATTTTAAATGATACTTAAGTTCACGAGATATAAAGATATTGTTTTACATCAAGAAAAAGGAACAAATATAATAATTTATTTTTTTTGTCATTATTTAGTAATTAATATTATCAGGGTGAAAACATTTCAGTCGATGTAAATAAAAAAAGAATAACGGTCGTAACAGATTGATATGAATCTATCAAATCTGTAAATTCTTTTCATTTGCTTAAAATCTGCAAAAAATAAAACAAAATAGTGCACATACTTTCAATCAAAATATTGGAAAAATTCAAACCGAAGAAAAGTTTTGAAAGAGTATATGAAATTTCTTAGGAAACCTTTCACATTTCAAAAATTTAATTTATTTTCTGAATTAACCACTAACTTTTTTTCTTAAAGCATGTATATTGTATAGTCTAGAAGATTATAATATATGACATTGATGAAGAAGAATGTATTTGTAAACGTTTAGTAAATGAATTTAAAATAAATCCAACATTTCGCCTGACGACGTTTTACAGGACGAATCGTTAAATTTAGTTCAAATTCATTCACTGAGATTTTACAAATATATTCTTCATCATTAATGTCACATATCAACTTGGCGCTTAAATACTGTGAAACTATATGATGTATGGTTATAGTTAGTTATACCTTTTGGAATAAGTAGAGAAATAAAGAAAATGATAGATATTAATTAATTATGTATTTGTTATTAAACAGTTCATTTTCGTAGAGATCATAAACTAACTTGCGTTCATATTTTATTTGAATTAATATTAATATAGAAGACAAGTCAAATGATAATGAATATAAATTCCATTATAAATTAAGTATAGTTTATTATTATCTTAGTTAATTGCTACCTTGAATTGTTATGGAGTTGTTTACAAACTGTATAATTTTGGTAATTTTATTTGTGCTAAGGTTCCTTTTGTTGAAATAGAATAAATTATCACCTTAAATTATGTACATTATATTGTTAATTAACTTTTGTTTTAAATGCAAAGCCTAAAAGAATATACCAAAATCTTGATAAAATAACATCTATTACCATGTGTATTTTGCTAAGGTTAATAGATAGTTGAAGAATGTACAGTTAAATTAGTATCAATTAATAAATAATTTATATAATGTGAAATTGTACTTTTTACTTTGTTTAATAATTTTTTTGATTCTAGAAGTTGATTTTGTAAAAAATCTATAGTGAATATTATTCACAGATATGTTAACTTAGGTAGCTTCAGCTGATACTGAACTCATTACAAGATATGATTTAGTTATGAATCCTTGACTGAACGACTATATCATAGACAACTGCAAATTTAAGTGAGCATTTTAAAGTTATATAATCAATGTCAAGTCAATTCAACTTTCTCTATTACGTAAAATCTAACTGTCAAAATCATCTTTTTATGTAAATGTACATTTTTCGGCCTATCTAAACTTTTTAATTTCTTCAAAATTTGTGCTTCAAATATCGGTAAAATCAAAAGAATCAATCTTCACTTTTTCCTTGTTGTGAATATTTTAACCAACTAAACTGATCAAACCACAGTGAAACGTTACGCAAGCAATAAAATTCAATTTACTTAAGATTGGTCACGTGAATACATTTGAAGTATAGTGATAAGATTCATAGTGAGATTTGAAACCGATACCTTACAATTCATAAGCTTATAAGTTATTCATTAGATTCAAATAGTTGCTAACATGTTTCAACTTACCCAATCTCGGTTATGCTTAAAAGTACTATATTTTTATTTAGCCACCAAAATACGAACAAATTAAACAATCCAAATAAAAGGATTCAATCAATGATTTGAACATTTATTAAAATTAAGTATATAATACCTACTTACAAAATGTACGTTTGAAAACATGTTCAAGCAGTAAACACTAGCCATATAAAAGATAGAATATTTACTTTGTTTGTAATAAAAAAAGAGAATTTTCCTTCAGTAAATTACAATTGATGTTATACTGAAATTCTCAACTTTAATCGCTTACCGACTATTACTTTTATACATAAATGGTTAAAGGAATAATTTATAATGAAAGTAAATTGAAGGGATATATATATATATATATATCATTATTGATACGAAAAGAAAAAAAACAACAACAAAACATACATATTTTAGACAAAATTTACCATACTATAAAGTGACTGAATGAATTAATGTGGTGTATATATATTTGGTGCCCCCTTGTGCTAATATTTATGTGTTCAAATAAATAAATAAATTGATGGATGAATTAGTTTACAGTTATGTTTATTCAGATTAACTTTATTCCTTAAAATATTTTAGATAAACTAAACTTAATCAATTTCTTATCATTAAACTAATCTTACATAATACTTTTAGTGTATGATCAAAATTTTTATTTGTATTTGATACATGATTTAATTAATTTAAATTTGAGATATAAAATATTAGAAGGGATTTTGTAAATATTATAGTAATTTCATTGGTTGAGATCATAAGTCAAGTAGTCTAACTTCAACTGATTGATGATCTCAATTATTGAAATTAATAAAAAATATTCTTAAATATTGAGCAATTTAAAATTTATAAAATAAAGTTTTAGTTAACTACATATTGTTAATTTTATATATTTAAAAAAAATATTTAGTATAGTTGTTAAGTTGAAACCTATTAACTTACTTACTTACGACTGTTACTCCTAATGTAGCATAGACCGCCGACCAGAATTCTTCAACTCATTCTGTGCTGGGCCTTCTTTTCTAGTTCCATCCAATTCTTGTTCATTTTTTTCATTTCTATCTCCATTTCCAGGCGTAATTTGTTCTTTGGTCTTTCACTTTTCCTTTGACCTTGAGGATTCCATATGAGGGCTTGTCTTGTGACGCAATTGGGTGCTTTTCTCAATGTGTGTCCTATCCATTTCCAGCGCTTCTTCCTGATTTCTTCGTCCGCTGAAATCTGGTTTGTTCTCTCCCATAGTAGGTTATTGCTAATAGTGTGAAACTTATTAAACAATAGTTTAATTAAATAATTAATTAGATTGTTTATTACATATAAACCATTTATTAAAGAAAGTATTAATGAAATTCTTTACATATTTTTACGTGAATATTCTTTGGATAGCTTTTTTCAATTAAATACTTACTTAATTTCATCATAAATACCAGTAATAGAGTAGTTTGTCAAAAATGTTCAGAATAAGTATAGTGATAAGTAAGTTAATTAATTAACAAATTAATCCAGAATAAAATAGTTTTGTGTTTGTGTGTTAAAACTGTCATCTACCAACAATGGTTATTTATATATTTTAGTCATCTCTGTTAAATATTATTGAGTTTCTAAGTTATATAAAAATTTCTAAGTAATTTTTTTAAAATATAACATCATCAAGTGAATTTAAACTTCACCCTATTGCACAACGAGGTGGCTATTAGGACTCAGTAGCTAAGTGGATAACGCAATGACATTTGAAGCGAACGGTACCAAGTTTGAATTTTGGAGTGAACATTAATTTTGAGATACAGGTACATTCAGATGACGAGTTTCAAATAAAACCAAGCGCGTGTCCTGGATTCCACTGCTGGCTACTATTTGTCTTTTCTTTAAAAAGCTTGTGATTTAAGGCATAAGATGTACATATGCCAACTAGAGAGTGATTAAGTGCAGT